AGGGGAGCTGGGGAAGGGGCTGGAGCACAAGTGTGAGCAGGAGCAGCTGAGGGAGCTGGGGGTGTCCAGCCTGGAGCAAAGGAGCTGAGGGGAGACCTGCTGGCTCTGCAGCTGCTGAGAGGAGGTTGGAGCCAGGGGGTCGGGCTCTGCTCCTCAGGAACAAGGGGTGGGACAGGAGGGAACGGCCTCAAGTTGTGCCAGGGGAGGTTTAGATTGGATATGAGGAACAATTTCTTCCTGGAAAGGGCTGTCAGGCCCTGGCCCAGGCTGCCCAGGGCAGGGGGGGAGTCCCCATCCCTGGAGGGGTTTCCAAGCCCTGTAGATGTGGTGCTGAGGGACATGGGGCAGGGGTGGCCTAGGCAGGGATGAAGGAAGGGTTGAACTTGGTGATCTTAAAAGGTCTTTTCCAAGCAAAACTATTCTATATTTCTATATGTTCTAGAAGGTGTTGATGAGTGCAAGTAGAGGAAAAATGGTTTAACTAAGAAACATCATGTCCCTTGATGGAGTCTGGCATGCACCTCTGCTGCTCCAGGCCCATTTGCTTTTCTGCCCAACCAGCTCCAGTCTGCTTTTAAAACCTGACAATGTGTTAACCAGGCATAAAAACCCCCATCCCTGGATTTCTCTGTGCTCTGAAAAGCCCTGCAGGACTTCCAGTGAAAGAGAAAAAAAACCAAAACACAACAACTCCAGTGAAGAAGGCCATGACCCAGCAGACAGCTTTGTGCATGCTTCACTTTCCATGCTCAAATCAGTCAAGTGGAGTCAATAAGAGAATGTGAGGTCAGGGAGCACAAACCCCCAGTCTCCACCCCCCTCCTCCCCTCACTGCTCAGAATGTTGAGGGCTGATGAGTTAATTTGTTCCTAGATTTTTGCACCTAATGAGTTCCTAGCTACCCTGGGGACTGCAGACATCCACCAGCTGCAGAGACCTGCTGTTCCTTAATGTCTTGGGTGCAGTCCAGCTGTGGATGCCACCCCAGAGTCAGGTGCACGTTTGGAAGAGCTGCCACAGGATGGTGGTTTTGGGACCAGAGACACACGAGGGGCACATGTCCTGCTCTCAGATGGGTCCTTTGGTAACAAAAATCCCTGTTGGGAAAGCTTCCCTGTGGCAGTGGTGCACAAACAGAGCTGAACACTGGTGGTGGTGGCAGCTGGGATGTTGGTGATGGATGGCTTGAGAGCTGCCACGCTGACCTTTTAACTGCTGAGCTGGGGGTTCATGGCCTCGAGGGGGTTAAAAGGTGTCAGCCAGCTCTGCTCATGCTATTAAGGAGATTACACGATGCAGAGCAGAACATGGGTCTGGGTCCTGAGCTTGCCCTCAGGGCATGGGGTTAAAGGCTGTGGCTGGGGTCAACCAGTACGTTGAGTTATTGACCTTTTTGCCTGCAGAGTTTGACCCTGTGGCCTGTGTGGAAGCACATTCTCATACCTAACCATGCCCAGGCAGCCCCTGTCTGGCAGGCACAGGTCATCCACCTGCTGTGGAGAATCAACACACCTGTGATGGTTCATTGGAAGAGGCCTTCCTACCATGGGCCTCAGTCCCAGCCCTTCCCAGTATGGACATGAAAAAAGCCAAAGAACAAGAATCACAAGGACGTGTCCTTCTACCAACAGTTTAGCACAGGAATCATAAGAGGCTCCTTGGAAAAATGTTTGCAAGATCTCAGCAGTGCTTTGTGAAGAGACCATGAAGGACTCTCTTGTTCCTAGCACTTGATCCCACAGCCAGATCCCCAGCAGGTGAACCCAGTCAACATCTTGCCTCCCACTTACCTGCCGTGATGGATGCCAGCCGGACGTAATCAAAGCCTCTGATGAAGGGTTCATAAGGGGAGCTCTCCAGGACATTCATACCTGGGTTGGAAAAAGAAACTGGTGAGAAGGAAACTGAGGCTCCTGGGGGATGTGCAAGGTTCAGAAGGTCATGGAATCACAGAGTTGGAGGGGACCTCTAGAGATCATCTCATCCAGATCTGCTGCTGAAGCAGGATCTCCTGGGGCACATGGCACAGGACTGCATCCAGGTGGGTCCAGGTTTTCTTGGTGGGTCCAAGGGGTTGTGTGCTCTAAAGGCCATAAGTAAATGGATTTTCAGAGATACAGGACCTGATGTATCCTGTGTCTTTAAAGAGGGGGATAGGATGTAACTGGCTTTTAAAAAGCTGCCACAGCTATGGAGAAGGGCATCCTCTCAGGGAACTATTGAGCTGCAACCCTCTACAGCTCATCTTGGGGCCCATTACAGGGATTGCCACTGAGGACACCAGGCTGTAGCACAGGCTCCTGCTCATGGGCAGAGTTCAAGCCACCAGCTCCCTACACACATGAGGTTTCCATCACCATCCTTGCTATTTCCTATCTGTCCCTCCCGGGTCAATGCTCCTCACCTCCTTCCTAAGCCACAGCCAGGGCTGTGTGTGTGGCAACACACTCCCCTTCATATTTATTAACACCTCTCCTCCTGGCCAACAGCCCTTTTTTACTTGGCGTGGAGCTAGTGACCCACAGCTTCCACACAACTTTCCCCTCTTCAGTTTGAAGTTGCTGGGAAGCTCATTTTACTCAATCTGTGCTCCTCGTCCACCCGCTCAGTGGTCTGTAATGCCCTGTTGTCCTGATGGACACCACAGAGTATTATTGGAGCAAACACCTCAGTATAATTTTTAAAAAATGGTTAGTCATTTAGGTGGATGTGGCCAGTAGCAGCAGATGCACTGGCTGGGATAAAAGGACTATCAAACCTCCTGCTCTGGGCATATGCTGATCACCAGCTGTGGCCAGAAAGAAACAGCTCCCAGGGTAGGCAGCCCCGTGCAGTTACCATGGGTGCATGATAAGGCAGCTTTACACCTTCCTTGAAATATCTCTCCTGGTTGCTGACTGGAGAGGGGCCCATTTGTATGTTCAGCAGAGCAGTTTTATGTCCTGATGATAGAGCACCTTATCAGAGAATTGTTATCGGGTTGTCATCATGTTATTGTGTCTCCGAGTGGGAAGGTGGCTAAACACAGACGTGCTCAAGAGGGGCTGAGTAAATACTGTGCTTTGTGAATTCCCTCAGCACACACTTCCATGATTGATTTTTATAAGAGTGTTTCTAGGAAGCTTTTTTTTGCAGCCTCCTAGCTCTGTCTGACTGAGAGACAAAGCCCTACACAGAGCATGTGGGTTTGCCTCCTTTCTCAGTCGATGATACACGTGTCAGGACTCCAAAATATATGACTGTTATGAAATATATTGATCAGGGGAAATTAAGGCAAGGGAATCAAAGGTTTGGAAGTGTAAATCTGCATTTCAAGTGAATTCAGTGCTTGAAAAAATGTGGGGCTTGGGTTATGATGGCAAAGGACAAGAGGGGTGGAATCTTGGCAGTCTGTGATAACAGCCCTCTCAGGCTGTTTGGTGCAGGTCCTGAGCTTGCTGGGCAAGAAGCCCATCCAAACTGGCCACCCAGCACTCATCTCTGCATCTGGAGACCCATGCCTGGTCCCCACCTGCACTCAGCACTCCCTGCCATCCTCTCCCTGCTCTTCCAGTAGCAGTCCCAGAGGTGGGAGACCTCCCAACACTATTGTCCTGCACAGCCACAGCACAGATGGACTGTGTGCAAAGCTTCAGGCCACAGAGGTCAGCAGGGAAGGTTTTGCAGCTCAACCTGTTGAGTGGAGAGGCTGGATTACCAACCCTTCCCCAAGCTTTACTTCTAAGGAACAAGTTGCCCAGAGAGGTAGATGCCCCATCCCTGGAAACATTCCAGGTCAGGTTGGATGGGGCTCTGAGCAACCTGATCTAGTTCCTGCTCACTGCAGGGGGTTTGGAATAGATGAGCTTTAAAGGTCCCTTCCCACCCAAACCATTCTGTGATTCTAAATTCACTAATTATGGCAACTAATTACGGAGAAGATAAGATCCTGGTGGGTGCTGAGGTCTTGAGGTCTCTTATTTCCCCAGTCAGTTCATAACATCCTACACTGCACCCTGCAAGCTGTGGCACCCAAGAGCTTTGCAGGAACCTGGTCAAGCAGTTCCCTTCCTGGCAAGCCTGGCAAGTCTTCATCCTCTTCCTTCTGCTTGGCCTTCTGGCCTGTGTTTTCACCCCTGCACCTTTCCTTTCCACCTCCAGCCAGCAGTGTTTTATTAATCTATTTCACAGTCTATGGCTGGAAGGATCTGTTTTATTTCCCGTTTTAATCTTCATGGTGCATAAAATACTCACCACCCTGACAAGGAAGAGTTATGGCCACTGAGATGTGCTTTTATGATGACTCTTAAAAAACGTCAAAATCCAAACTTACTAAGTACTGGCTCTGGGAACACCTTAAATTCCCACTCGATGTCACCAGCCCCAAATCTTCACTAACCCAAAGACACTGGTGCATTTGAGAGCCTCCAAGAGAGTGACTTTATTTTATTTTGTTAAGTTTATTCTGTTTTTTTTCCTCAAGGCGTGTGTTTTGTGTAGTGGTTCTGTAGAATCCAGGGCTCTCGTGGTCGTGGCTGGTGTACTAAGGCAGAAAGCAATCCCTGCATTTTCGCAGCAAAAGTTATGCTGGGAACAGCCAACATTTGGGTAGTTAGGCACTGGCTCAGCTTGCCCAGGGAGGCTGTGGCTGCCCCATCCCTGGCAGTGTTGAAGGGCAGGTTGGATGGGGCTTGGAGCAACCTGGGCTGGTGGGAGGTGTCCCTGCCCATGCAGGGGGGTTGGGACTGGATGATCTTCCAAGCCATTCTGTGATCCCAAAAAATAAGGAAGGGGGGTGTCTCAGGTTTTCAGGGTTGCTTTCCCCAAAATAACATTACTGTGGAGGTGAGGGAATGCTACAGGAGTGACCCTCTTTTTTGCAGCCCTTTTGGTGCTGGGGATCTGCAGGAAGTCCCAGTAGTCATTCCCCTTTTAGGAAGGAGATCAGAAACGATTACTGACCTTCCATCAACGTGTGGTGGATGCTCCAGTAGACGCTCAAGCAGTGCTTCTCCTTTTTCATGCCTCTCTTGCACTTGCAGCCATAGAGCTGGCTGGAGAGCAGGGCTGTCACTGTGCTCCTGCACTGGTTCTTGGCGTTGGGGCCCAGCTTGTTGGCCCCGTTGCCCGCGATGCATTGCCGGAGGGTCCTGAATTTGGCACTGCAGACGGGGTCGTTGGTACAGGACTCACCTGCTTGAAGGCAGTCCCTGCTTGAGCTGACAGCTTCTGCCATGCCTTCTGCAAGGAAACCAAAGGAGTGGTGTGAGGGTGATGGAGCAAGGCCAGGTGGGAAAGGGATTGTGTCTCTCGTGAGCTGGACCAGGCTGGGATGTCCATCTTCACGTGTGGAGATGGAAATCCTTCTCATCACCATCTACTCTACAAGCAAAGACTTCTGAAGCCTTTACATGGGCAGATCCCTCCCCAACAGGTCAACTGGAGGATTTAACTATGCACTCCTGCCAATGTGATGGGGAGCACTGGCTGCTGGGGCAGCACTGCTAGGGGGAGATAAAGGAATGGGTGGCAGGAAGTTGGAGGCATGTTCAGGAGACAAAACCTGAGATTCAACACCTCAACCCAACCCTCTCATGTTGCTGGGCCAGCAGCAGCAATGAGATGCATATCGTGCTCAGCTGAGGAGCCAAAAGGAGAGGTCACCTCTCTCCTGGATACCAAGTTCTTCCTAGTTGGAGAGAGTCATCCTGGACAGGGTGAGCTGGAAGCAGGACTACATGTGGCAGGAACTCAACCAGTTTCTGGTACTTGCTCTTTCCTGCTGGGAGCATGTAAAGCTTTCCCAACCCTTTGCTCCCCAGCTCCCTTCCTCATTTCTGCCCTCCAAATTTAACAGCAGCCCAATGCTATGGAGACCCCAGTTTCTCCTTGCACATGGTTTAACTCTACCTGAAGCTGATTGGCTCTGTGTGTGGTGGGGTCAGTCCACATGTGTCCCAGGATTTTGTTCACTGTCACCACCTCCCCAGCACTCCCACTGTTTTGTTTTGGCTTTTTCTAAACTGCAGTGAATTCTTTTCAGTTACTTGTGAAAAAACCCCAAACTGCTCCATTTCCCATGCTGAAGGGGTAGAGGACAGGGTGGGAGGAAGACATTATTGTCATTAAACCACTCCAAGGCCCATGGCTGCATCTCTAACCCCTGGCAATGGCAGAGCCAGAGGATCAACCACTCTCAGCAGGGCATGGTGGCACCCAGGTGATGGGGAGATGGAGGTCAGGGCAAGGTGAATCCCACTCCTTCCAGTTGGTGGGATGCTCTGGAGCATGCTGACATAGGTCAGGCATGACTGCACCATGGCTTGAGGGAGGGAGAAAGAGGGAAACCTGGTTTATGGAAGGGAAGAAATCTGCCTCTGTGTCCATAATGTGGGGTTGGATCCTGTTGTACTATAAAAACAAACTACTGCCATGACCTTGATGGAAGGCTTCTCAAAACTTCCTAAAGGAACTCTTTATGGAACTATAGAACTGTTTTTGTTAGAAAAGACCTTTAAGACCACCAAGTCCAACAGTTAACCCAGCCCTGCCAAGGCCACCACTCACCCATGTTCCTCAGCACCACATCTACAGAGCTTTGAAATCCCTCCAGGGAGGGGGACTGGTCCAAACATTTTTTTTTCTCTTTAGACAGGGACCAGAAGGATAAGGACACCTTATCCTTCATGGGGTAGATAAGATGGGGGCAGCTTCTGGTTTTTGAGCCCCTCCAGGGTCTGTTCCTGATGAGACCCAGCTCAGACAATATTAGACAATCCTCTCTCCTGAGAGAAACCTGGGGCTTTGATTGCCATCTGTGATGGCTTCATGAGATTTCCCCTCTCTGAAAGTCTACGGATCTCCTCATGAAGTCCCTTCTTCCACCTGCTACCTCTCCCACCCTGAATTTCTGCACCTGCTTCTGCTGCCCTCCAGTTCCATGCTTGGTCCCAGTATATCCACTTCTCTTCCCTCAGCAATCACAGGGTGTTTGCTAAGGATCTGCTTCTGATGCTCTTGATTAGGATAGAAGGTAGCAGCTGGAGTTCAGAGATTTCAATTATGTTTATTACGAACTTGGGGTGAACCCACCAGGAGGTTTCCTCCTGAAATATCCCAATGGCATCTCAAATGCAAAGCCTTTCATCACACTCCAGACTGTTTCAGAGTGCCTCATGGCCAACGTCAAGCTTTCAGTTATTTCAAATCTCACAACACCTCGAATTTGAGTTCTCTTACCCCTGATTTATTCATAGACCTGGTTTCTTTAGCACTCAAGGCTTGTCTGGAGCTGCCAAATGTGGAGAGAGAAATTATTTTGAACATGTAGGAGACTCTGCCTTGGGCTGCTATATCCTGAAGAACTCTGAACACAAGGAACCAGTTTCCTTGAAATATCATTTGGTCTGCCATTTCACTGAGGTCCATAAAATGAGTCAGAGCTGCTCACAGTTTCTACTTTCAGACACACCTGAATTTTCCTTGTACAGATCTGAGCAGAATCCATAGTGAAAAAATATCAAGTGCCTGAATTATTTTACCCTGGCTTTCTCCAAAGTACCTCCTCTGGACAAGTATAAAACATGGCAAGTTTATTCTAGAAGAGATGACTTTGTCAGTGTCATCTCAGCTGCTGGAAAAGTAGGTTAAAATAGAAATTATGACCCTCCTTCCCCCTCTCTGCTACATGAATTGCAGCAGATCCTCCCCAGGATGGTTATAAACACAGCCAGCCTGTAAAAGCAGTAAAGCACTTTGGGATCCCACTTTACATAAATCAGGCAGATTGACCATTGGAGAAACTGTCCTGCAAATTTGAAAGTAAATGTATGTCCAAGCTGAGACCTGCTTCACAGCACAAAGGCCAGGGGTGAATATTTACAGCCCAAGCATCAAGCACCCCCCAACCAGGCTTCACTCCAGAGGTGCCTCAAGCGGAGCGGCACGAACGACCCGTCCCGTGATCGTGTCGCTTAAAAACCAAATCACTCCAGGGCTTTTATTATTGCCAGTGATGTCTTTGCGGCTGAGACAACATCACGCTGCGTTTTCCTCCTCACACGACCCCTGAGAGAGTCATTTTATGCGCCGTTAAGAAAAGCTGCTCTCAGGGAAAGGGAAGAAAAAGTCATCTCTGTGACTTCGGAAAGAGACGGTGCATTTTTGACGGGCAGGGAAAAGAGCAAAATCAGGTCTTCCCCCTTCAAAGGTGGAGTGACCTTTCTGGTTTTTTCTTCAAAAAGAGCACCTTGAGGACTCCCCACCACGGGGTTTTCCTCCAACTCTGGCCCTGCCTGACCAGGGGGGCTCAGGATGTGCCCCGGGTGGTGCTTGGCTCAGGCTTTCTGTGCCTCTGCTTTTCTAACAGCAGACCTCCCAGCTCCCTCTGCTCTCTTTAAAAGGCCATTTGTCTGGATTTTTATTCCTCACTTGCTGCTAATTTCACACTGTTTACGGTGGGCAGATGGAGTAATGAGTTTATTTTCACATCCTGTTTGTAGCTCTGCTCCACATCTGTTTCTGCTCTTGCTTACCTCAGTGACACTTACATAAAGTTACTCCTAATGTGCAGGAGTAAGAGAAAAATCTGGCTCTTCCCCTCACCTTAACAGACCCTCAGGTCTTCTTAGACAGGTATCTCTTATTGAATCTTAGAATGGTTTGGGTTAGAAGGGACCTTAAAGATGATTAGACACCTCCCAGCAGCCCAGGTTGCTCCAAGCCCCATCCAACCTGCCCTTCAACACTGCCAGGGATGGGGCAGCCACAGCTTCTCTGGGCAACCTGGGCCAGGGTCTCACCACCCTCACAGCAAAGAATTTCTTCCTCGTGTAGAACCTCCATCTACACTCATCCAGCTTAAAACCACTATCTCCCATACTATATGGCATTCAATATCATGTATCTTTAATATCTTATACAGCATTTTGTTGAACAAAGATGTCTAACTCTCCTAACAGTGACCCAAATGCCCAGAGAGCATCAGCACAGAGCCCTGCCATTTTGCCTCCCTGATCCAACCAACACTTGGGCTTCAGATGTTTTAGGAGGAACCATACTGCTTCTCATGGTGCTGTTTAACCTGGGGCTTTGGGGTATTTCCCACTCCCCTCCAGATGGAGTTGTTGGAAGGGACCCCTGATGACCATCTAGTTCATACAGGTTTTGTGTGTGTTAGGGGGGAATCCTTTCATACCCCTGATTCAGGCACGATCCTAGGGAGTGATGTTACTGGGTGGAATTAACCCAGTGCTTGCCAATGGGCAACTTTTTGATATCCAGAAACTTTCAGCTTGCCCAGGGCTGTCAGAAATATGTTGGTACACACAGTTAGAGTGAAAAAAAAACTGAAGGGAAAGTGAGTCTGGAAGAAATATTCCTAGTATTTCCCAAGTATTCATAAACCAACAGCAATGCATGAATGGGGCCAGGTGGCTAATGCAAGTGGTCACTGCTAGACCTTGTTCAAAATATGTTTTCAAGTCATAATTTTACAGCCAAGTGCTCAGGATGACCTGAGGAACAAGCCCTTGTACACAGCTCAAACTTTATTTCCCATTTAGTGTGGAAACAGCTGCAGAGTGTGTGGAGGACCTGCCTCTCTTCCAAGTCCATACTTTGGAAATGCCCCCACCTGCATAACTTAGATTTGTTCCAGTAGTGCCAGAAGCTGTGGCTCACAGGTGTCCACCTTCTCCAATGGTGCTGTTTCTAGTGGGGTTGAGGCACTCAGGAGTGTTTGAGGGGCAGTTCTACCCTCAGGGTTCCCTGAGACTCTAATGTGTACTCACATGGGCTCACCTCACTGCACAAAAGCCTCTCTGATCTGAAGAGAAGGATTTAAAACATAACAGAGCTGCCCCAGTGAACACCTCTGCCATACCAGTGGTCCTTCCCCAAACCTGACTGGGAACCCCCTTCCCAGGAGATCCCACACATCTTGTCCAGGACACATCCCTGTCACAGAATTGTTTTGGTTGAAAAAGGCCTTTAAGATAATTAATTACAATTGTTAACCCAGCCCTGCCAAGGCCACCCTAACCCATGTCCCTCAGCACCACATCTACAGAGCTTGGAAACCCCTCCAGGGATGGGGACTCTGCCCTGGGCAGCCTGGGCCAGGCCCTGACAGCCCTTTGGGGAAGGAATTGTTCCCCAGATCCAACCTCAACCTCCCCTGGCACAACTTGAGGCCGTTCCCTCTTGTCCCACCCCTTGTTCCTGGGGAGCAGAGCCCGACCCC